GCTTCTAAAGCTAGAGCCCCTCAGTGGAGGGGCTCCCAGATGTGGGGGTACCCCACACACCCCCAGGCTGGGGGAAAGAGGCTGCTTCAATCCCTGGGGCTCAGGGGTTTCACACTGGGCATGGTGCAGCTGGGAGCCCCGTTAGTTGATGGGGCTCCCATCTGCAGGGGAGCCCCTCCTACACATGCAAGTTCAAGCTAGATAGCAACCAGCTCTGAAATTACTACACATTTTCAAGGTCTAATTTTATAGCTGGTTGGAGCTCTTTATCCTGTGACAGCTACTTTGCATGTGTAGCTGGTCTTACGGTAACTGCACAATTAACTAGCTAATTGTGCGATACCTGTAAGGTGTAGAGGGGCCTTAGTGGAGGCAGACAAGCTGGGAGATGCTCCGTGTTATGTTTCTGGCAGGGCACAAGTGCATCCCAACTCTGCGAGGGTTTCAGAGGCGATGCATCATGTTACTGAATGCAAAGCCTTCAGCATCCCACATGCTTGTGAAGGCTGTTCCTAATTGCTGTTTCAGAGCTGAAACCTGTAATGGGAAGAGGATACCGCCCTAACTCTCAAGTCGTGCTCCTTCAGACTACTGGAACTGCAGCTTAGTGCCCCAGGGGCTGCAGAAGCAAGAGGACATTTTCATGCATGAAATAAAAAACTTCTCTCATGCCCACCCCGCACCCACACCTCAGTGTGTGCTTCCTTGAGGAGTCCCCTGTCCCCCACATCGGTTTTACACACTCAGCTGCTAAAACAAGCAGCCTTGGTGCCTCTCCGCTCAGCCCTACTGAACTCGGAGAACTCAGTCTGGAAGGGACCTCCAAACGTCACATCTAGTCCAACCCCCGCCTAAGGCAGCATCCTCTCTATCCAAACCATCCCAGACAGCAACAATAATGAAACTAGAAGCAATGAAATATTAAAGTAGTAACATACTGAAAACACATCCAGAATCTTGTCCCTCTTCTTTTGTTCTGGGGGTTTGAGGGAAGAGCAATAACACTGAGAATTAAACCAGGTGAAGGGAAACAGATCCTGCTTGCTGCAAGAATGCAGTTACTCTTGCGGCGATTTCCCTCTGCCAGGCAGACAGACACGGCTGGGGCAGACTCACGAGCCAGTCCAAGCAACAGGTCTCTTCACACCCCCCTCCTCGAGGATGCTTTGATTTCCAAATCATAGACAACAAGGGTGGAAGGGACCTCAGGAGGTCACATCTAGTCCAACCCCCTGCTCCAGGCAGGCCCACCCCAACTACATCATCCCAGCCAAGGCTTTGCCTACCCACGGCTTAAACATCTCCAAGGATGGAGAGTCCACCACCTCTCTGGGGAGCCTGTTCCAGTGTTTTACTACCCGCCTAGTGAGAAAATTCTTCCTAATATCCAACCTCAACTTCCCTTGCTGCAGCATGAGTCCATTGCTCCTTGCCCTGCCATCTGCCCCCACTGAGACCAGTCCAGCTTCATCCTCTTTGCAGCCCCCCTGCAGGGAGGTGAAGGCTGCTATTCAATCACCTGCGGTCTTCACTTCTGCAAATCGATTCCCCTCGGTCTTTCCTCATAAGTCACATCTCCCAGGTCCGTCATCCAACCAACCTACTCCTGGGTGTTAAGCACCTTAGGCCCTCCCAGCATCAGGCAACTGGGAGTAGAGGATACCCCCGTCCCTTTGGCAGCCCTTCCTAGCTCCTATGGAGAGGACCACCCCAGGGCTTCCTTGAGACTGGATCTCTCCAACCACCAGCCCTTACTTCAGAGAAAGCCCTTTATTCATCGTCTTATGAATCACAGGCTTATTCCTCACAAAGAAACCTACCACTATAGCTCCTGGTCGTACAGGGCTGAGAGAGACACAGGACCCACAGCCCAGAGCCCTTCTTTGTTCACTTCTTGTTCTTAGGACAGCTCCCCGAAGTCAGGGACACATTCTGCGCACGTCCCCTCCTGAGTGACGCAGTGCTGCACACGCGGAGCCCACGGGAACTGGCCGAAACGTCACAGCCCATCGAGTTCAATGGGGAAACGTGGGAACACAGAGCATCTGCTGCCATCCCCACCACATGAACAATATTCCTCCCAAATAATTCACCACTCCCTGGAAACATGCTGAAAACAGCTGTAGGTTTCCCTCCTATTCACCAACACGGTAAAATCCACCACGGAGTACTTTTAGGTACTCCAGCCTGTCCCTTTGAACAGCTTTTGGTGTTTCTTAGTGACGCAAAACTGCAACCCTGAAGGGTCTGGAAAGACCCTCCACGTGGTACTCTCAGGACAACCAGGCATTTCTTCCCTGGCTGCTGCAAGACAAACTGATCTCACCTGCCGTCACTGCAGCTCAGGTGCAAAGTCTCGCACAAACGTAATTCTCGTGTCCGCATGTTGGTTCCAGGGTCTTTGCAGTACCTGTCACATCCTTACACAAACAGGCAATCACGGACCCTGGTTTTATTTTAGGTGTTTGTCTGAGCTCTAGCAGAACACGAGCATTTGCTATTTTAGTATTTGTAGCAGAAAGAGTCACATATTTGGAATATCACTCAAGAAATACAAGCCACTGGATCCATGTTTTCTATCTCCCAGGCCTCCCTGCAACCTAGGCACTTTTTCTTCTGCCTGGCACATACCATCCCTCACCCCCATTTAGCTGGTTTACTATTTCTTTTAAAGCTAGGTGCCTTTTTCCTGCCTCCGTCCCATTTTCAGCTTCAGTTCCTGGACATCACTGGGTTTTTTTAAGACACGAACCCACTTACAGAATTGGGCAGAAATCCATTATAGCAGGTCTGCATCTCACTGGAATTTCAGCGAAACTATCAAGATCCTCCCTACATCATCTACCTTTTACTTCCTTTCCTTTTACTGCTACCCTTTATATTCAAGACAGGAAATTGGATTGTCAGGATTGCCCTTGTTCAGGGTAATAAACCTCAGAAGAAATACTAAACCTCATGTTTCAGGGTTTAGGCCCATCTCTGATGTCCAGGGATCAGGAAGGGCTCGACTCTGCCAGCCTCTGCGCCAATGAGTATATGATCCCGAATCCCAATCCTGCAAAGCAAAAGAGGCAAGTAGAGCCCTCCGCTGAACCCATGGGGGCATCCATGAGTGCAAGCGTCTACTCGCCGACAACACCATTGACTTCAATGGGTTCCCCCAAAAGTGCAGCACTCCTTGGGAGAATATACCCAGACACAGAGGTTCACTGCCCCATTTTACAGCAGGAGCACTGAGGCACAGTCCCAAACCACCCTTCTTCACTTTTAAATATTTGTTTAAAATTAAACTGTGTGCACAAGTTTATTAAAAAGTGTGGTTTATGGATTTAATTAAAACACTGCATATGAAATCTTGCTAATTCTATTTGTGCTGCAACTGTATTAAAGTGCTAACATCAATATATTTGATTTTAAATATTTTATAATGGCAAGCTTTAAAATATTAATGTGGTAACGAGTAATCAATGTCATCAGTTCAGTTTTTTCTGTAGGAAGTTTGCAGTGAATTATTAACAACAACAACAAAAAAAAAATCAAATCATGTGGATCCCGATCCAGCTGCTTGGACCTCAGCTCAGACAACAAACACACTTGCCTGTTTCCACAAAGCACTCAGAAAATACCTTCAGAAGTTGACTTATTACAACCTGTTCTATTTTGTTTCGTGCATTTTTGAGACATTCGAGATAAATTTAACTGTAATGTGTGAGCACTAACCAATGCCTGTAGCTAGCTTTGTTCCAGAGCATGAGAGGTCAAATCCAGCTCAACTTGCTCCCTGTGAAGTCAATGGGACAAATATGGTATTATAATACGCAGGGTTAAATGAGCCCTAGGCACTGCGTAGGCCTTGCAGATTCAATTGTGCAAAAGCCTGAGACTGGCCTCTACCCCATTTAGACTTCTAACCGCACAAGGCCCGCAAGGTACGGGATTGCTCTGAGCCTATCCCAGTTGCATTAAATCAATGCAATTCTCAGAAGCACCATACAAAAAAACAATACAGGAAAAAAATGACTTGATCCATGTTTCCATTTACGGTTCCTTCGAGGAGCCTGTGGTGCTTTGACGCTGTGATTCAGGACTCCTGCTCACTCTCATTAGGACTGTGTTAACCAGAATGAAGTTTTAAAATGGCTCCTGGGGGCAGAAAGATAGTTCCCTTGGGCCATAGTCAGACAAGGGGCACACACACAAGCGCAGGGACTCATGGCACTTTACACAAAGCGCTGTGAGTTAGAGCCCCATTGAACCCAACAGACATTCACCTGTTGGGTGCAGGGCTGAAGCCTGCCTGCACCGGCCCTGGCTAGCAGGTGGAGGTGCTCCAGCAGCCTCCCAGGAGGGATGGAGGCCCCCTGCCATATGTACCTGTCACAGTGCGGCCGTGATCTCCCCTAGCGCCCCCTACCATGCCAAGTTCACCTTAAAGCACCCTCGTTCTCGCCCACCACATCCTAATCTTTTATATGTATAAAGGAGGCTGCCTTTTGTCCCTTTGGACACGGTGCTCTGTTGAATCCTGGCCCTGTTCTGTATTGTGTGACTCAGTGCACCCCAGCCTTATGGGCTATGCATGGCTCCAACCGTCCCTTTACCACGCCCCAAGCCTCGCTGATTTCCCAGACGTTATTCGGTCTGTCTGGCTCCCTGCACCCTTCCTGGTGCTTGGGCTCTCCGCAGCCCTCAACTCTCATTGCACCCTCTGGTGCTTGGGCCCTTGACTTACAACTGCGCCCCACAGGCACTCTGGCCTTCCACCACCTTGTCTCACAACCATGCCGTCTGGCACTCATCAATCACTGCCCCTTTTGCTCTGGGGCCTCCTCACTCTGCCCCCTTTGCAGGGGTTACTGCAGACTTGGGGCTCAGGTGGCCATAGCCATGCCTGGCCCCAAATCTCCTTCTCGGGGTCTCAAAACCCCTGCAGGGCTCAGGCAGCCTCAGCCATACCTGGCCTCCAATTCTCCAATAGAGAGACAACATAAGACACAGACAATTCTAGAGGTCTGGGCATGTTCACTGGTCATCCCTCTTCCTCAGGCTTTAATGAGTTTTTTAAGGAATGCCTCCAGCTGATCCTCATCCTTTATCCCTACAAACTTGTCCACCACGTCTCCATTCTTCATGGCCAGCACGGTTGGCACTGCAGAGACCTCATATTCAATGGCGAGGTCTGTGTGATCATCAATGTCCACCTTAGCCATCAGCACCTTTCCCTGTTGCTTGGCCACCATCTTCTCTAGCCTGGGGCCCAGGATCTTGCAGGGGCCACACCACTGCGCATGAAAATCTATCACCACGGGCTTTGCACTGTTGATGACTCTGTCCTGGAAGTCTTCGCCATCCTGGATGTTGAATGTGCTCCTGCAGAGAGGAGTGGTAGAAAACATCTTAACAGAAGAAAGTAAAGGGGCCTGTGCCTGGTGCAGGAGGAAACGTGGCCTGCTGGGGACAGAAGATGCCCTAGAGAGGAGTAGCGCAGGCTGGGACCGAAACGGCACAGGTATGAGAACTGGTATGAAATGCAACCTGTTTAAATTCGCTGATGGTACCAAAATCTGGGGTGAGGTGAGCACGCTAGTAGGGAG